TGCTTTCTGTCAGTGGATGTGCCTGTTTGGACAGTGTATGCAGATGGCACCACACAGGCTGTGGTGTGGGCCTGGGTCTGGTTCCAGGTACAGCTATGTTGGACATTGGGTTGTGCCCACTCTGGTTATTTTGAATAAAGCTGCTATAAGCAGTCATGGATTGACTTTGGTGTGGACTCGTTTTCATTTCTCCTGGGAACCCCAACATTTAATGATCAGAAAAAAAGACAAGAAGGAAGGACCAGAGAGGAGAGAAACAAGAGAACACAAGACAGAACCCTGCCAACTTGGAGCCGTGATGCTTAGCAACATGGCTCTGCAGACGGGAATCTGGAGGCAAGAACCCTGGGAGAGAGGAAATGGAAGGCAACTGCTGGCTGTCTCGCCAGCTGCTTCCCAGAGACCTCAGTGTGGGTCAACACTGAGGATGGAGGATGTTTTACCACAGTTATGCACAGCGCCCCAGTTTGACCATCCTGGACTATAGTGGAGATGCACATTTGGCTCTGGGAATGGAACCCAGGGCCCTGTGTATGCTGAGCACATGCTCCACTGGCTCCACCCCAATCCCAGCCAAGGACAGATTCTCTGCTCCATGTCATAACATTGTCCAGGAGGCTGGCAGTGAACCTTGCCAGGGGTTTACTCAGTTGAAGCTCCTCCGTGTTTTTGATGCCCAGATGCTTGGGAACCACTGGGCTCGCTAGAGACAGGTGAGTGTTTGCACACAATTTGGGGAGACACTACAGGGACTCCTTTGCTCTTGGCCAGAGACTGGTTGGTTTCCAGCAAAAGGATATGGGGTGGCAGGACTGGCTAGGTATTCTAGAGGAGCTGATAATGATGGGGTCAACCTGGGCAAAGAAGCTTGCCAGACGTGGGACATCCACCAGCTCCTGTGCAGTTCTGGGGAGGGAGATGGAAGCGCAGCAGAGCAGCCAGCAGTTGGGCCTCTCCCTAAGTGGCTCCCAGACAGCCACTGAGCTCTGAGCCTTGAGGGTCAAAGAAGCAGTGCCTGGAGGCCCATCTCCACTTTCCTGGAGCACAGTTCCTGAAATTCAAAGTGGCCAAGCTGACATGGGGTGGACAAGAACACCGGGAGGCCAAAGAAGTGGAATGTAGCAGGCTGTTCTGGGCTGGACCCTTACGCCCCTGCTGAGAAATGTGCCCCATCAGCTGCATGGGGGTCCAGAGACTTTGGCTCTCCTAGTGACATGGCAGTGATGAAGCAGCTCAGGCCAGACACAGCGAAATCCTGAGGCACCGCCTGCTCTGAGCTCTGTTCTCATAGGAGCCTTTTCTCTGGGGACTATGCCTTTCCCTGTAGTGACTCCAGCCGGGCCCGGTACCTTGGTGTGCGCTCTGTCATGCCTTGGGACAAGAGCTCCTGGAGGTTGCACTGGGATGGGCTGGGCTTCTGAAGTTTCTGCATATGTCACAGAACAGTGTCGATTGCTCAGCTGTTCAGTGTTACTAATCACTGTTGGTGGCTGAGCTTGGCCTCTGCCCACTTACAGCTACCTGAGTCACTTCAGACATCCAAACCCTTTTGTTATGAGACTTAAAGACAAAAACCACATAGTTGTCCTAAACGAAAGGAGCTGGAGACAGAGCTGGGTCCAACACCAGGAGCTAGAGATGGAGCTGAGTTCAATATCTCTTGGTGCACCTGCCAGGAGCCCCTAGGAGCAACTGGCCAGCCCCCCTCAGTGTGCTGCCCAGGAGCCTCCAAGAGAGATCAGCAGCAGGAACAGCAGAGATGTCCGTTTTCTGAGACTGGTCCTAATGTTTAGAATTCTGTGGTCACACAAGCATCAAAGCATTCAAGAAGTGCCCAGCTCCACTGCCCCTCCCTGTCCCCTGCCCCTGCTCAGGGCGAGACTGGTGTAGGCGTGCTGTGTCTCAGCCCTCCTGATCCTCGTATCTGATGACATCCAGTTCTCAGCCACAGTCCCTGTCCCAGGAGGCCAGGCTAGTCACTTGGCCAAGCACTGAGCAGTGAGATGTAGCCCTGGCCAACCCAGCCCCAGCTTGCAAACTGGTGACCATGTGCCCTTCAGGCTACAGGTACACCCGAAGGAAGAAGTCCTGCAGTTTGAGGGGAGCATGCCTTGACCAAGGCCAGGTGATGTTGGGGAAATCTTATGGCCTTGCTCTCTCCTCTACGTCTCTGAGGGCTTTGCCTGCCTAGGTGGGGTAGAAATGGATGGCTCTGGCCAATGAGATAAATGTACCACCAGATGTGCTTCTCCTGCCCCAGCAGAGGAGGTTCTGGTGAATCCTGGTGGAGGGAGTCTGGCTGATGGCTGCCCGGAGAGTCTGCCAGTCCCTAGCCTGTATAGCCCTTCCATGGTGCAGCAGAAACCTCATCTGAACTGTGAGCACTTGTGACCTTGCCCCAGCCCCAGGTCCATAGGAACCAGACAGTGTAAGATATAATCAGTTCTGTGCTTAGCCAATGACCCTTACCCTCCACCCAGATCATTCCCAGAAGAGAGAACAGGCTAGGCTTCGGCTGGAGGAGCACACTCCTGGATCCCAGTCGGATGATTATTTTGGGTAGGTGACTAGTGATTTTACATGTGGCTAGCTGGGAATGGCGAGTGGTTTCACAACGAATGCTCAACCGGATGCTGGGTTTCTTTGCTTCTTGTTTTCAGGCCCCCCTACCATCTGCATGAGTCAGTCCACAGACAGCCACTTCTGCAGGTCGGTTTTCCAGTCTATAAAACAGGAAAGCAGATGTAAATAGCAGGGACCAAGATAAGCAAGCTGCAGCTATCTTTTGGATGTTTTAGTCACTTGCTCTTTCAATAATTGTCCACTGAAGTCTGTGAGTAAACTCCTCTTGGGTCAGTCTGGCCAATGGATAAGGAATTAGGAATTTTTCAGGATTCTTTGGTCCTCACAACATCCCTGCAAGTGGGTGTTACATGTTTACTTCTCAGAGGAGGCATGAGAGGCAATGAGCCCATGGTCACAGAACTGGAACATGCAAAGCTGGGCCTCATACCACAAAAGGTGTGGTTTGCAACCCAGCATTCTGGACTAGACACCGTGGCACAAGGGCTGGGTGATCCCACAGATCTAGGGCAGCCTTCTGGAGCCATCTCCAGGAGGGGGCGAGGCACTGCAGGAAACGGGATTCTTCTTGGGAGTGAGCAACTCATGAGAAATATCCAACTCTTCCCTAGTGGCAGGTAAATGCAGAAGAGAACCCGGAGGTGTCACTGGAGTCTTCAGAGGCAGGAGCTCAGAGTTGGGGGACACCAGGCATTGTGCTTAACTTGCTAAAACATTGACTCTCGGCTACTGTGGGCTCCGTCAATGAACTTCAAGAGTATTCCGAAATACAATTATTTACGCATTTACTGATGATGGCTGGAATCGCTTTAGCCAGCACTAAATACCGCATGCTATTCTCTTTACAAGAGGATGCATGCAAGCTGAAGCCAAGGTCAAGTGCAGGCTCTGCTGTCGTCTGCCACACTACTTTGAAAGCAAAAGACAAAAGAACACCATTCTTGGCCATCCTAAAGCTGGACTGGATCTCATAGTTGAATGAAAAACACCTTCAGATTGCTCCTACTGCAGGATTTCAGAAACCTGCAAGGAGACGTTCCCTCCAAAAAGTTAATCCTAAAGAAAGGCTCTCAGCTAGCCTCTTGTCTAAGCAGCACTGAACTTGATCCAAGGCTGCATCCCATCCAGGGTATCTAAGCAGCTAACAGGTCACAGCCAACTTACCTAGCATGTGCTAAGCTGTGGGTTCCATCCCAGCACCGTACACACGCACATGCACACGCGCACACACACTTTCCATTATTTCCTGCCTTCTGAGATGTATGAATTTAGCAATAATGATACTTCCTACTGGGCTTTTTATTGAACTGAAGAAAAAAGAATCCACTGCTTAAGATACTGAGTGTTGATGGAGTCTCAAGGAATGTCAACGAGTAAAGCAGAAGCCTATTCTAAAATATGCTTCTCAGCACTAAAATTGCAAAAAATGTCCACAGGGTACGGAGACTGACGCCAGGGGTATTTTCCTGCTTCTACTTACCGTGGCCAGCTGCAGTGATGTGAGAGACACAGGGCAGTTTCAGAAGCACAGAAGCATCTTTTGAAGGCAAAATTAAAAGGAGGTGTGAAAAGCTGAGAATACGGTATGCAGAAATGATAGGTTTCTTGAGACATCAGAAAAATAAGCTATTAAAATAAGTCAAAGCTAATTATAAAAGGACTTTTTACAGAGGAGGCTTAAAAGCACCAGATCTGTGGGAAGTTGACTTTTAAAAACTTAAATTACCCAGGACTTCTAAGTTGTCTTCTGTTGTAGAGTAATCTGGCTTTATTAGCATTAGCAAAGCCTGCTTCTCCTTAGTAAGCATGCTGCTTTTTGCTATTTATGAAGCTTCCCTATTTTTCTACGTTTATGATCCTTAATTCTTAAAAGCAACTGGGATTAGAAGTATAAAATGAATTAAAGCAATTTGTAACTACTACATAAAAGCTGCACATATTAGAGGGTACCTCTGCTTTAACACACGCATACATTGCTTGTTCAAATCAGGCTAAACAGATTCACTTCCTCACTTAGCATTTCAAATCCTTTCTCCTAGTTCTTCTGAAATGAACAAAAAAATTAATATTTGTTCTATTCACCTTTTAATGCATGGGTGCTATAGAAGAGGTAAAACCCACCTGGGACTGGGAGGGGGGGTAGCTCAGTGGTGGGGTGCTTGCCTGGTATGTGCAAGGCTTTGGGTTCCATCCCCAGCACCATAAAAAAAAAGAAAGTCCACCAGAATGGTTTTAAGTGCATGTCCCTAAACACACAAACACAGGTGTAGCCTCATTCCCTTCTCCTCATTCAAATCTGAGAGTCAGTTAAGAACATCTTGATGAGTAAATTTTTCAGTGCACAAATACACTTTGTATTGCTCCTTCCAGTCTTTTCCATGAAAAGGCAGAGCTGTGTAACAGGTTGCTCTTTGACCTTGGTGAGGAAAGAGGGAGCCTGTTCTCAGGCTGGGGAGACAGGCTAAGGCCACACAGTGAAGCCGAGACTGAGCACTCAAGATTTAGTTTCAGTAAGAACAGAGGAGCGAGGGTCCTCTGTTCCACTATTTTTACTTTGGAAATCTGTCTTGGCCTTTCCACAAATGTATCCTTCTCTCCAGAGCATTTAATCTGCTTCCTTGAGAAACTTTAAGCCTGACTCAGTCACAAAGGCCAGGATCAGGATTATGTCAAAAGCACGTGGAGGACGGCCTGTGCTCTGAGGAAGGCAGGGGCAGAGGCAGAGACAAGGCCAAGAATGCAACAAGCCGCTGAAACCCTGAAGAGCTTCAGGAAGAACCGATCTTCAAATCACCTCCCACTAGCCTCTGTGTACCTTGAGCACCACAGCATTGCCTGTGGCCTGGCTTTGACCGGTCCTGGGGAAGACAGCCTGTCACATGGCAGTGGAGGCCTTGCATGGTGATGCCCCTGCAAATTCAGCACTCAGAAGGTTCCTAAGGCAGAGCCCCAATCACAAGCCCACTCAAAATTCCACCTGTGGGGATCCTGCACCTGACAGCAGGGGAGTAGGAAGGATGGGGGCACTGGTAAATTACTACCCTCTTTGTTCTCAAAGAGAACATCATCTTGAAAAGCTAAGGGTAGGAGGTGTATGAAGAAGGGGATGAGAACTCTTAAATGGTAGAGTACTTGCCTAACAAGCATGAGGCCCTGAGTTCAATCCCCAGTACCACAAAACAAAAAAAACTTAAAAGAAGGGGAATGAGAACTTGGTGCACCAATAAAGCACATTTATTTTAAGTGACACCTGAATTGTTTTCCTGCTTGTTAAGAGAAAATAGAGAATGCTGTGTCACACACCCTTTTGATGGGTCACACTAATTGTTACAAACTTCTGTGTAGTCAAAGAAAATAGAAAGCACTGTTTTCTGCTCTCATATAAAAAGGAAAACATGCAATGATACCCAAGTTTCCCTTTTAGCACTGGGTTAGAAAACTTGACTATAATGTCTCAAGTACAAAAACTAGACTGTACAAGTTGGGGGCCTAAGCTTTTATTTTGAATACTGAAGCAGCTCTTATTTTGAAGGCCTAAATAAGAACCACTCAGATACCATGTGGGTCAGGGAAGAGTCAGGGTTGACTCCTGCATTTAAATATAATCATGCCTGGCTCCCTTTGCCTTTCTCCGTCTTGTAAGCTGTGGGCTTTCAGCTGACTGAGCACCACCCAAGTTCTCATTACCAACGTGTTTGTTTTCACCCTCAATAATGGAGGTTTCTCAGGCAACAGTGGGCTTGACTAGTTCCACCACGGGGAGTCATTAAGGCTGTGAGCATCGTGGCTCCCGGCTCCAGCCTACCGACGGCTGCAACACCAACTCACAGCTTCTCAGTCACAGCTCAGCACCAACCAGCACAGTACGCATCGTCCAACCCAAGAAGCCTGGAGGAGAGCAACTCAGCAGGGATAAAAACTGAGACACACCACTAAGCGTAAGATATGTGTGTGTTTTTACTGGTTCATAAACCTTAAAAAGTATTTTCTTCAGATTATAAAAGGTTAGTTAAAACTGTTTACTAGGAACAATCTTGGACAAGCAGAAATAGCTTTGATTTGGAAGATGAGAGCAACATATGACTGAGAACCCACAGGGCCTGGGCGGTCTGCACCTCTCCTACAGCCGGGCACTGAAGTGACAGACCAGACACCCCGCCTCTTCCAAGGCACCTGCCACCAGCCGTCAGCTTCCTACCAGGCTACATACAATATCGTTTACATTTAAAAATAGGTTTTCTTCTTCGATGTAGTGGAAATGCCCAGAGCAGTCACAACGGTCCTTGTCTAGCAAAGGTGTAGAACTGCTTTATTGATCTCAGGATTTGTCCAGTCATTACGAATATCATCCAGGTGGTTATCGAAATCCACAAGCGTTTCATAGGACCGGCTATCCAGGAGTGACGCTGAGATCCTCTGCGCCTCTGGCCAGTCTTCACAGTAGTCACTGTGGATCAGACATGGAGAAGTCAGCCTCTCAAAGAGAACAGGTGCCTCCCACAGCATCTCAGAGAAGACTGGCCACACACAGGGCTGTGTCAAGGACTGTAGGAAACACTAGGAAACACGGGCATTTTAAACACATAAATGTACATGGTAAGTAACCAGAAGGGACAGTCTTCAAATGGAATGCTGAAGAAACTGGACGAGAATGGCTGAAGCACTCTCAGTGATCAAAAATAAACCAAATCAAATGCCTGGGAAGAGCATGAGGCCCTGGGGCCTGGAGTGTTAAGACCCAAAAGCACCACCCTTGTTCCTGGTTCAGCTTGGAAGCCTGACTGGCCCCCTCCCCCAGGAGATGGGGACCATGCTCAACACCTCTGGAGCATACGCTAACTTAAAACCCTGCAAAGTAAATCGCGCACTCACTGGTGTGGGTCTCTGCACCGCCATCTGTTCTCGTGGTGCTCATACACATGGATCGTCGGCGCTATGCAGTCCATCGTGAACTTGGTGTTGTCTACCTGAGTACAAGGTGAAGGGCACAGCATGAGCAGAGCGCTGCCGAGCAAAGCACCAGCCAGGCCCCTCCTATGGCACGCAAATCTGAGGGGTGGACTCTCAGAAGTCAGTGCTCAGAGAGTGAATATTAGGGCTTCATGCTTTCCCACAAGAGCAGAGCTTCCTAACGTAACCCCACCCCCTCAGAGAACTCCGTTTAACCAAGACTTTAACAGGCTGTCCCCCTCCACCCCAACACTCTGGAGACAGGGCATCTGGGCAGGGCCTGAGAATCTGCATTTCCAGCAGGATCTCAGGTGCTGCTGCTGCTGGGCCTGGGGACCTCACTGTGATGACTGCTGAACTTGAAGCCTCCCCCACCCCTATGCCGTGACTGTGCAGTACTCAAACCACTGCCCCATCTAACACCGAAGCTGAAGCTGGGGGACACTGCAGGAGCCAGCAAAGGCCTCCCCATGACAATCACAGCTGCCACAGAAAGGAGATCATATGGGAAAGCTCCAGTCAGTGAGGATGCTCGAGAGGCTGTCTGGAAGCAGCACAGAGAAGCGACTTACCATGATGAGTGCAGTGTCACTGAAGCCCTCAGCAATTCTGGAGGCCACTTTCTCTGCAACCTGGTTTGGGCTGTAAGGAAGAACCAATGAGTCCTATCACATTCCAGTTAGCGTCATTCAACACCATCTCCATCTATGTAGACAACGGTCACCCCACCCAGAGTTAGCAAGTGTGACGCAAAGACTGGCAGAGTCAGCAGGCTGTGTGTGCTAGATAGTCCCACCCAGGTGATGTGTGGTGAGGACAGGGAACATCACCAGGAGAACATACCACTGGTTAGAGCAGGTCCTCGACCCATCCCTCCAGCAAGCCCTCATGGAAGGGATCCCAAGGGCATCTTCTGATCTGGCTCCGAGGGGAACAGCAGAGAGTTGTTTGGGACCCACGGTGAATGGCACTGCTGGGTGACTGTTGGCTTGTGCCCAGTCCCAAGTCTCTGGGGCCGCCTTCTCCCTCTGCCTGCCACTAAAGTGGCTTGTATATGGCAGTAAGTCACAGGGATCTCATGGCTGCTGGCAACTGACTCATCTTTTTATTTTTAAATTTTAATTATTTAATTCTTGAGCCAAGCCAGGCATGGTGGCGTAGGCTTTGGAATACAGCACTCAGGAGGCTGACACAGGATTTGAGTTTGAGGCCAGCCTGGGCTACTTAGTGAGATCCTGCCTCAAAAACCAAACCAGACCAAAATAAAACCCAAACCAAACCAAAATGTTAAGTCTTTTTGCATCTCCATGCCTGTGAACCTTCAATTGCTGGTCCTGACCCCAGTGCCACCCCAATCTTGATAAATGATGCTTTCTGCCTTCTGTCAACAGAGCTAATTACAGCGGCACACACACCTCTGCTCTGTCTCCCGTATTGTATTCCTCTGTCCTACCTTAAGAAAGGGCTCCTCCTGTCCCAAGGCCTGCCCATCCACGCTGGCATTCTGCTTGGGGCTGAATTCATAGTCTCTCCCCACTTGCCTAACTCTGCCTCCAAATCTAAGTCTTTTGATTTCAGGGGGAAAAACCCATGTAACTGGCTTCCTCCAGCTACCACTAAACTTCCCCCCTCCCTCCAATCCACAAGCATCAACCAGCGAGCACTCTTGCTCCATGTCCTCACCACCATCTGCAGTCTACCCCCTTCCCCCCGGGATTGGCACCCCAGTCTACTAACCATAATGGGCCAACAACCACCATCTCTTGCAAGCCTTCCTGCTGAAGTCCATAGTCCAGTGGGCTACCACTTCCTCTCTGCCCTGCCATTCATTTCGTCCAGACCATTCCTTTTGCACAGGCTCCTGCCTGACCATCAAGGCCCAAGGAAGTTAATGGGTAAGTTACCCAGGATTTGAGTCCAACTCTACCTGACTCTAAGTCTTGTCTGTTAATCAGAAGATATTGCTAGAAGAAGAGCAAGTTTTCAGTCAGGGATGGCTGAAGAGAAAAGGACAGGTTTTCCAGGTAGAAGCAAATGGCATTTAAGAATGAAGTGGGCATGGCCCTAGCTCCTGAATTTCCAAACTGCATGGCATCTGTGACTTGCTCTCTCTGGCTTTGCAAGATCAAAAGGGACGACCCCATAGAGCCAGAGGTGGTTACTGCTCATGGTTCTCTCCTCTGAAAGAGTGGTGGATGCAATATCAAGTACAGGGGAGACTGGTGGGGGCAGAAGGGACCTGACAGCTACCAGGCATCTTTCTCAACACCCTGTAGCTAATCCTCAATGCTTCCTACACACTGACAAGTGGCTGATGAGACTGTACCTACAGATTGGTGTCAGGGACGTAAGCCTCCTGAGTGGAGCAAGAGGAGGAGTCAGGACTTGAAGAGACACAGGGAAATTCTAAAAGGCTGAACAGCATGGAAATTGCACCTGAGTAAGACTACTTCAGGGTGAGCTGGAAGGAGGTCAGAATACTGGAAGATGAAGAGGCTGTGAGACAGATGTCTCACACCGAGAGGAGAGAACAGGGAGCCTGTGCATGGATTTGAGGGTGAGGACCAAGGAAAGGGAGGCATCTTACAACGTGACAATCAATACACTACTTCCTGCCCAGTGTCCTCTCTTTTTCTGCAAGAGCAGTGGTGTAAAACATTGCTGGGTTCGGTCCAGCCCTTCTGCAGGGACGGCATCCTGCTGCTTACAAGCTGAAGTTCAAGATGCTTTCACTAGCAAGAACATGGTCCTGAGTTCAAATCCTACTCCCCTCCGCCCCCAAAAAGATGCTTTCAGCACTGAAGCCCTCTGGGTCAGTCCTGCCTACCCATGCAGCCTCACTGCATGCAAGTACCTCCATGTGGGTGCAACCCCTGCTCACACTATTGTCCCATCCTATGACTTCACACCACTGTCTCCCAGCTGTAACAGTTCTGACCCATCTCCACATCTGCCCATTCTCAAAGACTTGGTTCAAAGGACACCCTCCACAGGGTCACACCGCTGGATGTGATTCTTCCTGGCTCTTGTTGTCAAAGCCCCAACCTGCCAGCACAGGGCCCACTATCTGCACTGCAGTATCTTTCACACTGAGCTCAGCCAGTATGAGGGCAGGGCTGAAGGGTTTTGCTTTGCTTAGCACACAGCAGTCTGCACCTAGTCAGCCCCATTCCTTAACAAAGATGGACAAGATACCATGGCAGGCTTTTGCTCAGGGATGGACAAGCAGAGTCAAAAACAAAAGGAGGCAGATAAAATCAAATGAGAGGTCTGAGGAGGACCAAGGTTAATAAGACACACTGGGAGAGAAGCAGGACAGTCCATGTGTATGGGTTTCCTAAGAGTGCTGGGTGGCCCTGGCAGGTGCCTTACTACGAGCAGCACCTGCTTTATCTACCTCCCAGGGTCCCTGCCTAGGCCTAGCCCATGTCTCTGAAATGCTCTTCGTGCCTCATCAGTGACAGCAGTGCCAGGTCACCAGCTTCTTTTATTTTCAGAAGTGATCTTGAGCCCACCTTTTCAGTCATGCTGTGCAAGTGGACTTAAGTCTTGGGCCATGCAATGCACCCAAAAGTCCCTGACACTGGGGTCTGTGGGTTCCTTCTGACCACATGAGGAAACCCCATGATGTACTGTGTGGACATGTTCCAGGTGCCCCTTGGCTTACTGCTGGACTCAGCCAAATGAAGCCCACAGAGGATGTTGGGTACTGACTGATCTGGGCCTCTCTTCCCAGATGTGGACTCACATCAGGCTAACTGCTGGCCCTGTCCCTTGGCAAAGAGCCCTGCTCCTCTAGAGGTGTCCTTTCTACCCAACTCCTTCCTTGATGGCCCCTGAAGGGCTTATGAGTCCTTTTTTCTATGGCCCACCCCTGAGGAGCAGCTCACTTAACTCAGATTACCTCAACTTGAATATGTCCTCTGTTTTTCTCTTGAGACTCAGATTGATGCAGACAGATGGTGAACTTCTCAGTGCTGCTCAGGAGTGAGAATCCCAGTGGGGAATTTCCAGATGGAAGGAACTAGGAGTCAGTTTAGGGCAGCAAAGACCATACTTTCACCATAGTGTCAGTTCTGAGAGACCAACCTAAATGCTGCTCAGTGACCCCAAAACAGCATGCTCCCTCCTGATGCTCTGTCCTCTGTGGCCCCTAGTTTGCCACTGGGAGGCAGCAGGCTGGACAGACAGGAGGTTAAGGCCTAATGGCTGCTTTCACTGTGTGAGCTCCTTTCCAGTGTGATAAAGGAGACGCAAGGCAGAATCCCAGCCTCTGCTACTGGACTCAACAGCAGAGGCCCTTGTTGACAGGTACTCAACAGGTGCAGTGCTGTGAGGAGTCAGGGAAGGACCATCTTGACCTATCATCTTCTCTTAAGATATAAATGACAGCCCTGTTGTTTGGAGTCATCTTAACACAGTTGCACACTATAAGTAGAGGTTGAGGAGTGCCCCACAGATTTCAGATCTGGAGCCTCAGAGGATCAAAAATACCTCAGTGACAGCTCGGTGCCACACACTCATCCTTCCACCCCCAGAGGATTTGCACCAACATACCTGGCATCCTTTACTCGTTCATTAGCTTGGTAATAACCAGCAATCACATAGCTATTGTCTTTGCACCATGAATCAATCTGAAAAGAAGAACACAAATTGGGAAGAAAAGATGAGTGATATTCTCTTAGATATCAAGTCTCAATAACCACAGGAGTCCTCCCATACATGTGAGGATAAGACAGGATCTAAACAATCCTCTGTCCTCCCCAGAGTGAAATAGGCATTCAGATGGAAAACACCACCAACACCAAATTGCAGAGGCCAAGGAAATACAAGGGGGCCTGGCTCTGTACATTGGGCCCTCTAATGACTTAGCATGGGGGGGTGTGGTGGTGGGGGGCTGGACTCAACAGCAGAGGGCCCTTGTGGACAGGTACTAAACAGGTGCAATGCTGTGAGGAGTTGGGGAGGAAGACCATCTTGGCCTGTCTTCTCATGTGATGATATACAACACTTGGACATTCTGGGGCTTGAGAAATCCTTAAGCTCATTTAAACCAAACTTGTGCAGGTAAGGGAACTAAAGCTTGTCCAGGTTGCCTCTGTACACCCAGGAAAGTAACAGAGCCAGAAAGGGTGTGTGTGTCTGTCTCAGTCTCTTTGAATCAAGTCTTCTAACACTAGATTTCAGCATTCCTAGCAAAACAATATGAAATGCTCTCCACACTGGGGTATAGGACAGATGGGAACATAGACAGGCAAGGCACAAATGCACAAGCACTTAATTCTCTGTGGGGTGCTTCTCAATGGGAGCCTGGTGGCAGACCTGCAAAGTTGTCCTGTTTTATAATACCACTCACTCTTCTCCCATAGACTTGCAGATTTCCTGCAATCTGTAAGTCTAATTCCATCACTAAAGATAACAAAAGGTCATCCTGGTTTGCTGTAACAGAATTTTGATACACTGTAACAAATTTCATTCTCAGTCTGCAGAGGAGGAAACAAAATTGATACCTTGCTATTCCCCCCCACCCCCAATACTGGGGTTTGAATTCAGGGCTTGTGCTTGCTAGGCATGTGCTCTACTACTTGAGCCATGCCGATCTGGAACTCTGGATCCTCCTACCTCAGCCTCTAGTGTGCTGGAATTACAAGCAGGAGCCACTGTGCCTAGCTCCATACCTCACTTTGTAACTGATCAAAATACTTAAGTTGGGTGTGGTGGTGCATGCTTGCAATCCCAGCATCCAGGAGACTGAGGTAGGAAGACTGCAGTTCCAGGCCAGCACAGAATACGCAGTGAGACCCTGCTTCCCAGAAACAAAAGTGGGAGCCAAGTGTGTGGGTGCACAACATGACCTGACTGCTTTCCCCTGGATTCTGACTCAGGCCTCCACAGTCTCCTTCATGACTAAAAGCCAACACTACAAGATAGCTACAGGCGTATAAGGGCCCTTGGCTCACACCAAGATTAGAATGTTTCTGGTCTCCTAAGAACTCACACATTTCCATATTGGGTCAAAACCAGGGCTTACCAAACCAATTAGACGTTCTAGTCATTCACCCAAAAGATCAGGGTTATGTCCCAAAATATTTACTATGGCTCCACCATGACCTTGCTGCAAATTGCTCAAAGCGTTTTCTGTTGCCTCTTAAGGGAGTAAGTTCTAGAAACTTCTTTTCCTGCTTAGAACAATTTCTTTTGTTTTTTTCTCCTCAACTTATCTCTATGTAGCATCAAATGGCTTAGTTCTAAATTTGGGATTTGGCCCCTTTCCCTGAGGTCAAGCTTGCAGGATTAGCTGGTCCTTTGGCATGGGGCGTCCAGGCTGTTTCCAGTCAAAGCTGGGCTCTTGAGAGTGCTTCCCCACTGGAGGTCCCCTGCCTCTGTCTAGCTGTCCCTGCTCTCCAGAGCCACTGTACTTACTTCCACAGTTAATTCGATTACTGTTTAGCTTCCTACTTCCCTGTAACAAGTTGTTCACACTTAGTGGCTTAACACAACATAAAGTTTTTTTTTCTGTGGTACTGGGGTTTGAACTCAGAGCCTACACCTTGAGCCACTCTACCAGCCCTTTTTGTGAAGGGTTTTTTCGAGATAGGGTCTGGCTTTGAACTGTGAGCCTCCTGAGTAGCTAGGATTACAGGCATGAGCCACTGGTGCCTGGCAGTTTTTTTTTTTTTAATCTTATCAGTCAGAAGTCTACAATGGGTGGGCAGGGCTGGTTCCTTCTGGAGGCACTGGGGAGTTCCTTTTCTAGTCTTTTCCAGCATCAAGAAGCCACCTGCAGTCCTAGGCTCTCAGCCACATCCCTTTTACCTCTGCTTCCATTTTCATGACTCCTCTGACTCTGACCCTTCTGCCTTCCTCTTTTAAGGGCCCTTGTGATTCCTGAGCCTACATGGAAAACCCAGGGTTAGTCTGCAGGTTAGTCATACCTGCAGAGTCTCTTTTGCAACATAAGGTCTGCAGATTAGGACATTTACATTTTTTTTTGGGGGGGGAGGGTCTTTATTCAGCTGATGACAGCTAAGGTAAATTTACTATCAAGGTATGACAAACTGTTTTGCTTCTCATGTCATCCTGACAAACAGTCTAAACTGGTTCTGTATTACTTTCCCAAGCTGAATCCAAAGGTTCAGGATTTTCACCACTCCACCCATCACAAGCACATATGGCATCACCTTGAATTTGCCCTCAGAGCATAGGCAGCACGGATACAAAGAATGATTCCTGTGACAAATACAACACACACTTCATTCACATTTTGCCTGCTGAGGACAAACTCCAAGCACTCAACCAAGGCCCAGCAGAAAATAAGGCCATGACAGTGAACTTGTACGACTCTGAAGAAGCTGCTCATGAAAGTATACCAGGTCACAAAAGCTCTGGCTTGGCTTTAGGAACTTTTCTTTTTTTGGTGCACTGTTCCTGGAGGCACTGCAATACCAGGTTGATGCGTGGAGTGGACGGAGCAGCCCCTATTCCATCTCCCTGTTCCAAAAATGCATTTAATATACTGTCCTCGGATAGAGGACGGATCAGATGTTAAACTGACAAGAACAGATACTACACTCGATCTTAGCCACAAGGCCGAGAAGCGATGTTAGGAACTTCTGAATGTCCCAAACAACCAAGTCAACCGTACAACACCTAGAATGGGCATACACAGCCTGTCCACTAAGGAGTGAGATAAGAAAAATCGACTAAGCCACCACAGCTCAAGTTTTAATAAGGGGAAGAGTTTTCTTTGATAGCCTAGAATATGGAACTAGACATCAGGTGAGTGCTGAGGATGACTGGAATGGTGTGAGGAAGGAGAGGAGCTGCGTGGGACAGGTGGGAGTAGAGCAGGCAGGTCTGGCCTCAGAACCCTGCAGGAAGCCAGAAGGACTCATCAATGAAAAGCTGGAAGGGATTTAAGTGATAGCCCACACAGTCAAGGTGATTTGCTCCTTCCCAATGGGGCAAGACAAGGCAGACCTGAGAAGCTGTCTGACTTCTCCTCATGACAAATGTCTTTCCATTTTCCTTGCGTCTTGTGAAATATCAAAATTAAAATATAGGAACAGAACAAAACACAAGTCCTGTGAAATGTCAGATTCTCTACCCACTTTTCACCCTGGCGTAAGCTCTGCACCCTCTGTCCCATGCTCACATTGGCTTGCTCTGTTCCAGACACGTGGTAGAACTATTAAAAGCACTAGGTCAAGCCATTCATTCCCATTAGACTGCACAAAGTAGCTTCTCTGCAAACTTGCTAAGGTCTGGTACATGAGGCACCTTATAATTTTCTAAGCACTATCATCCATCTCAGGGACTGGCTGGGACCTGACAGGAGAGCCACTCTGTGGAGGGCATCACTCTGACCTTACACTTACCACCAAGTGGAGGGTGACCTGCCCAGCCTTTTTGTTTGTAGCAACAAGCAGGACTTGGCCTCCGTTTCACTGAGCAGAGCTCCTCAAGTCAGCTGCTGACCTTTCTACAGAATAGAATGGAGCTGCATCCACGAAAGAGCTCTGGAGGCAAATGGGCAGAAAGAGGGCCAAGGGCTGAAAGGAAGACTCGGGTGGCTGGCACGTGAAGGTTCAGAAGATGTGCATGGGAGGGTTCTGTGGGAGGGAGTTAAAAGGACAGCAGCTGTGCAAAGGAGCACTAAGTAGGCACACAAGGAGGCAGCAGGAAGGACTGTTCTGGACCCATGGTGATAAATCAACTGATGAGTAAGAAAGTCATCAAATCAGAATGAACAGACAGCTGCCCCACAGCAGCAGAAATCAAGGCAAGGGGGAAAAGGAAAAAAGGGCTTAGAGAAACCACAGGTTTATGCTAATTTCCCTACTAGCATTTTATGGGCTTTTGCTATTGCAAATAATTCCTTCACTACCTACGTCAAAGGGCTATTAAGGATAAACAAGATAATAGGCATAAGCACTTAAAAAAAATGAAAAGCACCCAGAAACGAAGGATTTTTTTTAAATGGAAAATTATAATAAAAAGCCTTTCAAAGGACCCTAATATTGCCTTTTAGTGGACTACATATCAAGTGTGCTTTTTCCACTTACTAAAAATAATTCTGGGATGAAAGTCTCAGGGAAAAGAGCCATGAGAATTCACCCATGTTCAGAAAGCTGCATGAATTTAGCTGCTTAGCAAAAAACTTGTCTTCCATGGCTGATGTCCTGACAGGCCCTGGCTCCAAATCCCAAGTCTTTTCATGGTCTCAGGTTATAAATTCACTTAGTTAAGAAGTAAATAATATCAATTTAAATAACTTAGTTGTAATAACTTTCTTCTGAAAGCTATTCTGTTTGCATTGGATTACCACCCTTTTTCCACTTGTCAACTGTTGAGGCTATGCCCCACAATTTCATTGAATATAAGAACGTCAGTATAAACAACCCTCTCAGCAAGGACAAAACCGTGGTGGCTTGTTTCCACTGGGGAGAAGTCCCTGTAAGGAGTCTTTATTTGGACCCGATGTTGCTGGACAGGAGGCTCACACACTTGAAGGGCATGTGTATGGGGGTGGAGATGGAGGCAGCATGGCAGGGGAAGGGAAGCAAGAAAGAATGAGACACTCTGTGTGCCCCTTTCACTACCTTCAGGCTGGTGGTGGTAAGCTGCTTGGTTCTTAGAGTCAAGGTCCTCTCTAGGCATCTTCCCTCTCCAGGTAAGTGGTTTGGGAAGCAGCCCTGCTCCTTGGGGAAAATTCATGTACAGGTGACTCAAATGCAATTGTTTATAGTCAGTATGTCCAACTCTCTCAAGTGTGGTGTTCATATCCTAAATAGGAAATAATCCTTTAGCTTTGTTAAGGTTTCCTAAGAATAAGTGACACTGGACATGCCAAGCAATGTTCCAGTTTTTCTGCAAGAAGTTCTTAAGACAGGATTTTCCTTCTACCCCTCTGATTGCTCCTTGGCTACCTTTCAATACCTCTTCCCCATCTCAACCCATTAAAAACTAGGGTTCCTCAGTCTTCTTGCTCTTTCAGTGTCCCGTGCAATGTGATTTGTTCCCAAGGCTTCAAGTCAATCTGTCTCTAGCCCAGCCTCTTCTGAGCTCCAGATCCACTTTTCAACTTCTAGACTGGAGGTGGGCCAAACGGAAGCACACCCCTCCACCAAACCTGTTTCTTAGCTGTTCTACATGAACCACTGGGCTTCCAATAAGTCAGAAACCCAGGTGTTGCCCTCACTTCCTAGGGCCCAGGTCTGCATGACGAGTCATCTGTTCTCTTCTCAGCATCCACACTGCACTCAGTCTGGCCACCTCCCTACCTCCAGCCTTGGATGCACTTCTGTCTTCCACATCTTTCCTGCAGACTGGAGCCACCACTCAGACTGAGTCTGATCACATGATTCTGCTTCCATTTACCCTCAGGACTGTGCCCAGGGCCTATTTGTGATCTACAAGGATCTCCTCAAACCAACAGGTCCCCCGCTCACCTTTCACTCCACCCCTTTACACTCCACTCTTATCTCTCCCCAAACACCCCTGCTCACCACTCTGACCACTGTTTCCTTCCTCCTTGTCTTTGCACATGCTGGTCCTTCTGTGCTCAATGCTCTCTGTCCACCCTAGGCTTGCATGCTCATCCCTGGGGTCACTAGGGCTAGCCTACCACTTGCATGTCCCTTCCTCTGGGCCCTCTGACTGCCCTGACTCACCCAGCCTGGTTAACTGACTTTTCTCTCTAATTTCTCACCACCTTTACAATTTTTTTGGGGGTTGGGGCTGAGGTTTAAACTTGGGGCTTGGGTGCTTGCAAAGCAGGTGCTCTATTGCTTGAGCCACACCTCTAGTCCTCTCACCACTTTTTACTTAACCTCACCCATGGCATTTATTCGTTGGTGTTGTGCTTGTGCTGCAAGTTCAAGTGCTAACCAAGTACTACTTCAACTCAGCCATATGCCACATTTAGTGGAGAAATGAATAATCCTACATAAATGCTACTGGTAAACCTAGTTTCCTGCAGTCAAAACACTTCACAGACCCAATCATCCTGCAATTCCCTTGGTAACAGAACAATTAAGACAAATAGCTGAAAGACCTGGATTAAAGTCCCCAGAGATGTTCTGGGCACTGACAGCACATTTCTTCAGCAACTAATGGTTGCATTTATGAAATATCATCTTATTGTCTGTCCCCTTCCTGCCTAGAAATGATATGAAAAAATTCACTTGACGACTCTGTTCAACTTTAACCCTGGAAGATGTGCCAGTAACCTTCAGACAGACTGACGGTTTGCCTAAAGGCACTCCCTGCTTGCCAAGAATTTACTTTGGTGTTGTAATTAGCTTAAGAAATGAACTCATTTAATTGGTGGGAGGCACAGAGAAAGGACTTCTACCTACACCTTCTCAAACTCTTGGCATGAATTTTTTTAGTTGATTCTTTTTTTTTATTTTTTCATTTTTCTTCTATTATTCATATGTGCATACAAGGCTTGGTTCATTTCTCCCCCCTGCCCCCACCCCCTCCCTTACCACCCCCTCCGCCCCCCCCCCAATACCCAGCAGAAACTATTTTGCCCTTATCTCTAATTTTGTTGTAGAGAGAGTATAAGCAATAATAGGAAGGAACAAGGGTTTTTGCTGGTTGAGATAAGGATAGCTGTACAGGGCATTGATTCACATTGACTTCCTGTGCGTTGGTGGTACCTTCTAGGTTAATTCTTTTTGATCTAACCTTTTCTCTAGTACCTGTTCCCCTTTTCCTATTGGCCTCAGTTGCTTTAAGGTATCTGCTTTAGTTTCTCTGCATTAAGGGCAACAAATGCTAGCTAGTTTTTTAGGTGTCTTACCTATCCTCACCCCTTCCTTGTGTGCTAAAGCTTTTATCATGTGCTCATAGTCCAATCCCCTTGTTGTGTTTGCCCTTGATCTAATGTCCACATATGAGGGAGAACATACGATTTTTGGTCTTTTGGGCCAGGCTAACCTCACTCAGAATGATGTTCTCCAATTCCATCCATTTACCAGCGAATGGTAACATTTCGTTCTTCTTCATGGCTGCATAAAATTCCATTGTGTATAGATACCACATTTTCTTAATCCATTCGTCAGTGCTGGGGCATCTTGGCTGTTTCCATAACTTGGCTATTGTGAATAGTGCCGCAATAAACATGGATGTGCAGGTGCCTCTGGAGTAACAGTCTTTTGGGTATATCCCCAAGAGTGGTATTGCATCAAATGGTAGATCGATGTCCAGCTTTTTAAGTAGCCTCCAAATTTTTTTCCAGAGTGGTTGTACTAGTCTACATTCCCACCAACAGTGTAAGAGGGTTCCTTTTTCCCCGCATCCTCGCCAACACCTGTTGTTGGTGGTGTTGCTGATGATGGCTATTCTAACGGGGGTGAGGTGGAATCTTAGCGTGGTTTTAATTTGCATTTCCTTTATTGCTAGAGATGGTGAGCATTTTTTCATGTGTTTTCTGGCCATTTGAATTTCTTCTTTTGAGAAAGTTCTGTTTAGTTCACGTGCCCATTTCTTTATTGGTTCATTAGTTTTGGGAGAATTTAGTTTTTTAAGTTCCCTGTATATTCTGGTTATCAGTCCTTTGTCTGATGTATAGTTGGCAAATATTTTTTCCCACTCTGTGGGTGTTCTCTTCAGTTTAGAGACCATTTCTTTTGATGAACAGAAGCTTTTTAGTTTTATGAGGTCCCATTTATCTATGCTATCTCTTAGTTGCTGTGCTGCTGGGTAGTTGATTCTTAAATGAAAGCTCAGGTGGGCAAGTGTGAGGCTACAGCTCACTTCTTCATGCTTTAACTACTCGGTGCAATTTAGAGACTTTTTTTTTCCTTCCTGAACTGAAAGGCTCCCGCCCCAAATCCCCATTGCCAGCCCATTACAGTGTATGTGGTTCTTTCCTCCACTACCCTTCCCTAGGACAGTCACCGCTGTCAGGAACATAGAAGCTGCTGGGGAGAAGACACACGTGCTCGTGCTTTGTAAGGTCACAGAAATTCTTTACCTTTTAAAGCCGCCGAGGCATTCTGGCCGGTCGCTATGCACTAAGGGGAACAAATGCTCCTTGCACAAGGCTCAGGCACATTCCAGGGGAGCAAAGCCCGAGATGCCACGAGGGGGTCTACGCCCCGGGCTCCGGGGCCCCCGCACGCGCCAAACCCGGCGCCCAAGTCACCTCACCGCAAGCTCCCCGATGCAAACCCACTAACGGCTCTTTCCTGGAAAGCTGCAGATTTCAGAAGCCACGGTCTGACTCGCCGCTCAAAGCGCCTCTGCAGGACCCACAGCGGTCGGGGCCACCACCGCGACCCTCCCGCGCTTACCAGGGTGAGGGCCACCTCCAGCATGGGCGCCAGGGCCAGCGTGCCGTGGAAGAGCGGGATGCAGTCCACGAAGAGGGTGTGGGGCGCGCCCGGGCCGCCCAGCGGCAGGTGCTCCTTGCGTGGCTTCTGCTTCTCGGCCACCAGCAGCCCGTTGACGGCGCAGTGCGGATACTTGGCGCCGTGCAGCAGCATCTTGCAGTAGGCCTGGGTGGTCAGCTTCACCCCGGGCATGCTGAGCCCCGGCGGGCCCCGCAGGTCCCGGCCGCGCGGCGGACGCCTGCTGTCGGGCCGCGCGGCGCTTCAGCAGAGAAGCAGGACGCCGCAACGGTTACGCCTGACGTGGCCCGGGACTGGCAGCCTCACAGACTGCCCGGCTCCGGCCCCTCAGAAGCCTCCGCCCGACTCTGCCCGCGTTCCTCGCCCGGTAGCCGGAAAGCCGCCTCCCTAGCGCCTGCCGGAAAGCCGCCTCCCCAGCGCCTGCCGGAAAGCAGCGCGGTCCAGCGTTTCGCGACGTTCGCGACGCGTCGACCACGGCGTGGGCGGGGTCTTCCCGATCCCGTGGTGCTTTGCCGCACCGCGTCCCTCTTCCGGTTGCAGCTTCGCGCTTCCGTCGCGAGCAGCTGGGGCGCAGAGGAGGTCGCTGCGGTCGCGACGGGCAGCTGCACCAGGTGAGGCAGGGGGTGGCTGGTGGTGGGCCACGAACCCGGCTGGGCTTGCGGTGCTGGGAACCTTCGGGGCCTGGTGTTTGCTGCCGCCTCTAGGAGGAGGCGGCGGGTGGGCCTGGAGCGGGGTGACATTGAGGCCAGGCTGCGGGGTTCCTGGCGCGGGGAGCCGTGGGGGCTGCGGCTTCGATGCTTTCCTGCGAGCGGGGTTCGGCCGCACCTGCCTCGCTGCCGGCGGGCGCGCGGGCCGCGATGTTTGACCTTGAGGCGCCCGCTGGCCGAGGCGCCGGCCGCGGGGAGGCGGGCGGGGTGTGCGCCCGCGACCTCGCGGGGTCCCGGATGTCGGTGTCTGCGGGACCCCGGTGTGACGCGGCCCCGCGGGTGGGACGTTCGGTTTCTCGGCCTGGCCGGCGCCGGGCGTCCGCGCTCGCTCCGCCGGGCGCGAGGAGGCGGCGAGTTCAGTCCTGACGTTGTGCTCCTTTTTTTTTTTTTTTTTTTTTTTTTGTGCCCTAGGGGCTTTTGGAATCCTTTCCGTGGGGGAACAGGCCTGGGGGGGGGGCGTGTGAGGTCCGTAGGCCTGAGTCTTAGGTCAAACGTGGGGGTGGTCGGCTAGGTCGCGCGTTGGTCGGAGGGATTGGAACTAGGCCGGGACAGCCTTCTCCCGTTGCCCCTTCCGGCACGTGCACCGTTTCGGCTTTACGTAAATATTCACTTGAACAGGATCGTGCCATTGTCCCTGTTGTTGCCTTTTTCCTCCAAGGAACAGAACCTGTCACAGTAGCACAGTGCTTTACTGATTTCTAGCTTTAATTGCGTAAAGCGTGCATGCATTATGGCAAGCGACGTCACTTAGTTTATCTTGCAGCTCCTTAAAAACCATGCTAGGGCAAAACCCCGTTCTAGCTTACTTTGTGAATTTAGATAGGTTATAAAGATCAGATTATTTAACTTGGGGGAGGAGCAAACAGATGAATTGCATTTACTCCCAAAATGCTCTTGGGGCAAGGAGAAGATTAGTTCTTATAGGTGTTTGCCCTCGTGCTACAGAAAATGTCCGTTTTTGTATTTCAGAATGTTGGCTACCAGGGCACTTAGCTTAATTGGCAAGCGAGCTATTTCCACCTCGGTGTGTGTGCGAGCACATGGTAAGTCTGACTTTTCTTACTTTTAAACAGGCTGAGCTAATTTTATTTGCTCCTGCTATGTGGAAGGGCCATGCTGGGGTTTTAAAGATGCCTAACGGCTTGATCTTGCGGGCGAGGATGTCAGGGGAGGGCATAGTTCTAAGTTCAAGTCACCCCTTTCAAGGGAGCTTCTCCACGATGTCTGGCTATAAAACTCCTCCCTGCCCCTTCCCTTCCCTTCCCTTGCACTGACATTATAGAGGCAGCAGAGTCAAATGAGCTTGGAGTTGGGCTGAGCTGGGTTAAATTTCACTTCTATTGTGGACTGGCTTCTCAACCTTAAGACTTTCCCCACTTGATTTAGTCCTGGGACCGGCATGTAAGTAGACACTGTTAAGGCACTGAGAATGCGGAGAAGGTGAGGCGTGGACCCTTGTACGGGATGCTTGTAGTGTGGAGAGGCCGGGGGAGGTGTAGGCAGTGTTCAGTGAGGAGTGGCCTCTGGGGAGAAGCACTAGCCTGCTCTGAACCCAGGGCAGGGTTAAGTGCAAGTGCTTGGGATGGGAGGTGGGTGAAGAGGTGGAGGGCAAGGTTTGTATGCCTAGAGGCTCAGCAGCAGGACCGGCTACCTCAGTGACGTTGTCTTTCAGCCCATGATAGGGCTGGGTATTCTGTGCCCTGCCTACACAGCACCATGGGGAAAGACTCTAAAACAGGTAATGTTATCAACAGTATTAGTGAAATACGTTTTTAAGTTCCTTTTTTGCTTTGCTCTTCTTCTTTTGAAGTGTGTTTTTTAAATAAGATAATAAAGGAGAAATTCTTTGTTGATACATCTGAATAGAAGTGTTTTGTTACAACCCTAGGAAGTCAGCTAAGACAAGGTCACATTTTATTTCTAATTTGGCTTAGCTGGCATGTTCCCTAATTGGTGGGGTTTTTTTTGAGGGGGGGGGTTCTTTATTTGTATCTCTTATCAGATGAAGAACTGCAGTCTAGTGGACAAGTCTTGTCCTTTAATTTTTAACTTTAAATGGTAAGTTGCATGAGTAACACACGAACCTGTTCTCAACATAGTGTTGCAGCAGTATGGAATAGCATTGGTGGCACTCTTGTATCGGATATTCATGGCGACAACAGGGTGAACAGAGAGCTCAGATCCACCAGATCTCCCTGTCAGATGCTGGACAGAAACCCATCCTGGTTGAGGACAGAAATGATAGTCTTTAGTATGCAGAATCTTTGCTTTTCTTTCCCTTTTAAAAAAGGACTGTTTGGTTTGTGAGCCTTTGCTTTCCCCCCTCATTTGGTGGGTTCCAGGCCCAAAGCTCTGAGGAACCCCTTAGAAAATGAATCTGCTATTCTTGTTCTGCAATACGCTGTCTTCTGTCTAGCCTGCCCCAAGACTGTGAGAGCGTACAGCTTTACGTGAGGTAATTCCCATAGCACAGTCCCCCATTTGAAGTGTACATTTCATTGGATTTTAGCATATTGGCTGATATGTAGGGCTGATGGAGTGGCTCGAGTTGTAGAGTGCCTGCCCAGTAAGCCTGGAAGTGCAAGGCCCTGAGTTCAAACCCCAGTGCTGCCAAACTCAGATATTCTTCTCCTTGATGTGTGCCATCAGCAGCATAATTGGTGGATTCCAGAACATTCTCACCATTCCATTTTACTTTTACTCCAATAGCTCATCTAAACTCAGTGCTTTAAAAACATCTAGGACTTTTTTTAGACTGAACTTGGTAGGAGTTTTCAGATATAACCATTGTTTTTAGTCTATTCGTTATTTGATGAATTTTTTTGTTTGTTTGTTTGTTTGGAGATAGGTTCTTGTTACGTAGCCTAGTCTGGTCTGGATTCACTGCAACCCAGGCCGGCCTCAAACTTAATCCTCCTGCCTCAGCCCCCTAGGTGCTGGGAGTATAGGTGTAATACCATGCTGGGCTTAACAGAATCTTAAGAGTTCAAATTGGAAAGTAATTCTGCCCATTTTACTTCAGATCCTTTTGGGATGAGGCTGAGTCTGAGTTTAAGTAAGCACTCTCGTGTTCATGTCTAAGACAGACATCTAGAGGAATGACACTGCTTTGCTTAAGGCTTCCTGTTACTAACATGATTTGGGAGATTGTAATCATTGTGGCTGAGCTAATGTAGGCAAAGCATTTTCCAGGGCTTCCTTCCTCCAGGCCAGTTCTGGGCACAAAGTATTCTTGCAGATATAGGATGGAACTGGAGAAACAGCTTTTAGCACTGGGAAACCTTAAATAAAAATGGGGATGTTTTTCCTGCTGCCTTGAGCTTTTGCCCATTTTGTGTAGCGTGCAAGTATATGTTCATTTTAAGGAGTAGGAGGAGGCAGCAGCAGAGCAACTGCACTCAGCTTTTGCCTCTTCCCACCGGAGCCACTGTTTGTTCACGTGAAAGTATCAGCATGATGTACCTTTCCCCCTCTGCTGGGGTTTGAACCCAGGGCCTCGCTCTTGCTCCACAGGCACTCTACCACTTGAGCCATGCCTCCAGCCTGGGGCCAGGCTCAAACCATGATCTTCCCATCGTACCTCTCAAATAGCTGGGATTATAGGTGCACCAGAATGGGCATCATTGTGTCCTGCCCAGATTGACATTTTTTTAAAAGAAAAGCAAAAGTGAACTGACCTTGTTCTATGACTTGGGGAGCATGCTCAAGTCTTTCCAACTTGAGTTCCTGGGTCCACCTCTTTCCCTCGGTGGCTCGACTGCTTCCTGCTGTACGTGCAGTCCTGATGGATGATTTACACATTTGCTGTCTTGTTGGCTTCCCACTATTAGAATGTGGGTACCACCATGTGGGAATGTTTGGTTTGTTCACTGCCATCTGCAAATGTCTAGAGCCACCGTAGCTAACAGTGGATGCTTATTGAGTACCTGCTGAGCAGGTGGCTTTCTGTAGGGCTAGCAGCTTCTGAGTTGGCCCTCTGCTGGCATGGGTGATCCCTGTACCCAGACAGCAGCAGCCGCGTTTTCACCTGCTTCTGACCTAGGAACACTTAGTCTGAGTTTCATATTGTTCTTGCTCTTACTAGTTTGAGTCTGCTGCAGTGGGGCCTTCATTTAGCCCAGTCTCCCATCTGGGCAGGGAACCCCCCCCCCCACAAGAGCCCTGCACCCACCTTCTGTGGCAACTTAATACCAGAAGGGCTGCCCTGGGGTGCCCTGTTGTGGGGCTCACTTGCAGTGGACTAGCAGGTTTTTTTTTTTGTTTTTTGTTTTTTTCTGTGTTGGTGCTTCCTTCTGCCATTGGCCCACCATTGCCATCTGCCTGGATTCTTCCTCTGTGGAACCTCAAGCATTTTCTGCTGTATTTGCAGGGAGTGTCGTGAAGAGTGAGGACTATGCTCTCCCCACCTATGTCGATCGGAGAGACTATCCCTTGCCTGATGTAGCCCATGTCAAGCAGCTGTCTGCCAGCCAGAAGGCCCTAAAGGAGAAGGAGAAGGCCTCCTGGAGCAGCCTGACCAGGGAGGAGAAAGTAGAGTGTGGGTATCACAGAAATGTGTGTAGGAGATCTCTCATTCCTGGCCCCATGCTGGGTCTCTGGGTGACCAGCTTCTGTTTGCAGATGCCCCATGTGCTGGGTGGGACTTTGCCTGCCTGCTGTAGGTCTCTGAGAGGTCAGCAGAATGTCTGCTGTTCATTGTGTAAGGGACATGGATGGAGTGTGGTGGAACAGACCTTGTGCTGTATCACCCAAAGCCAGTTCCACGGCCCCCCAATGCCTGTGTGTGAGGGCACGTGTGCACGCATGTGTGAGCGTGTCATGGCCTATCCTGTGCTGTGGTCCTCTGCTCCTTGTTTTCTTTTGCCCCTGGATATATTGCTTTGGAGAAAAGTGGGTGAGCACTGCAGGGGAGGGGCTGTGTCTACTGCATGCTCTTTATGCCTGCAAATGGTGATTCTTTCCAGTATATCGCATTCAGTTCAACGAGAGCTTCGCTGAGATGAACCAGGGTACCAATGAGTGGAAGACGGTGGTGGGTGTGGCCATGTTCTTCATCGGCTTCACTGCCCTCATTCTGATCTGGGAGAAGCGCTATGGTGAGTGGAGGCATGACCCAGGGCGGCTCCAGCCCTCAGTGCCCAGGAGGTGACTTGGGGGCTTCACACTGCCGTGGATGGGGGCCTCCATTGCAGGGTCTGTCCCAGGATAGCAAACCAGACCTGATTTATTCATGGCTGTCTGGCCTGTGTGGTAGTGAATAATGTGCTGTGCACAACACAGCACCATATTTCAGGAGCAGTTTATCTGCTCACCAGTCAGTTGGCAGAAGGTGACCCAGTGGAGGTCCGGCTAGAAGGGGCTCATGTGGTGCATGGCTGTCTCAGCTGCAGCTCGGGTATTGGGACTTCTCCTTTCTATTTGGTCTCTGTGGGGGTTGCCTGCTCTTTAACACTGCTGCTCCCTCTGCCTTCTGGTAGCTCTGCATTCTGAATCGGTGCACTCCTGCACTTCTGGTTTGAGTGGGATGTGGGTTAGTGACAGAGCTTGAGCCCTCTTGTCTGATGTATTCCGCCATGTGCCAGCCTGGAGACCCTACTGTCTACAGCCTGTAGGAAGGACATTCATCTCCAACTTAATATACTATTGCTGACCTTCTACAAAGGGATAATTTTTAAATATCAAGAGTTGTCAATGTGTGTGAGTGGGGTTGAGTGGCAGGTGATTTTGCTGACCTGGTGGCCTGTGTGTGTGTTTGGAAGAGGGAGGTACCCCTGGCCTCATGAAGTTGCTTTGCACCACAGTGTATGGCCCCATCCCGCACACCTTTGATGAAGACTGGGTGGCCAAGCAGACCAAGAGGATGCTGGACATGAAGGTTAACCCTATCCAGGGCTTCTCGGCCAAGTGGGACTATGACAAGAATGAGTGGAAGAAGTGAGAGCCCGCTGCTCAAGCATCTATTACTTCCTGCAACTCATACTTACTGGAACCCGTATGTCAGCCAGTTCTGATGCTAATAAATGACAGTTTACGTGGAGTCCTTTGTGACCATTCTTTGATCTCTAAATGAAAGTTTCTTACTTATTTAAGTACGTATTTTTGATGGTGTTGGGGTTTGAACTGAGGACTTCACACTTGCTAGGTACGTACTTTACCACTTGAGCCACTCTGCCAGTCCAAGTTTGCCTTTTTCTTTTTTTGAAAGTGTCTTATTAAAATACTAGGTTTCTCCCAAGAGTCTGAAGTAAATATATTTTGAGGATAAATGAAATGGCAACAATCTTGTATCTTAACTTAGACAAGGGGACATTATCTAAAAACTAAAAATACAGAATCCTATAATGTGAGACATTTGGGGTTGTGACAGGATTTTAGATAAGAGTAAAATCCCATAATAGTAGTCAGACCTCTAGAAAATCTCATGAATCAGTTCTGGCACTTTGACTCCCTTGAAGTTAGTTGGGATGAGTGAGTACCAGGCTGTGAAGGACAGGCCAGGTTCCGAGCTCCCTGGCACAGGTTTAAATGATGGGTTCATTTAGCTTGGCCTGCTTATGGCTGCTCAGTTCCTCTGTCCATGTTCACCGGAGTGTGGCTCGGTGGTGGTGCCCTGCCTAGCCTGGGTTCCATCCCCAGCATTCCTAAACAATGGGAACATAAAGATTCTTGTGCCAGATATGCAGGGGTTTGATGAAGGCTATTCTGGCCACAGCAAGCCTCCTAGGGAGCCTCCTGTCTCGCCTAGTCAGGGTGCCCCTTACTCTGAGAAACTCCCCCTGGGAGAAGACAGCAGAGCCTTGGATAGAGCCTGCATGTCAAGCAGCTGAGATGGCTGGTGACAGGGAACTCTTTCTGCCTTGGTAGCAATGGGCAGGACCAGGAGAGGTGGCCACAGAGAAGCCCAGCTATGACAGGGTAGGATTACTGTGCCTCAGCCTGGCCAGGGAAACTGGGAAGAAGGTCGGGTGTCTGGAGGGTTGGAAGTCCAGGGCAGAATCAGTGATCCCAGATAGGAGAGTCTTCCTTCTGTTGCGGAAATGTCGTGGTTTTGCTGTGAGGACCCACGTGGCCCTCACATGACTTCAGCTACAAACCTTGGTGCTGTTTCCAGTGTTTGCCCCCAGGGTGGGTGCCTGCAGAGGAGCTGACATACCTGAACTGGCCCCAGGTCACCCCTAGTGCATTCCCTGACCCTTAAATGACTAGTTGGGGGAGGGAGGACTTCCATTGGGCCTGACTTGTCTACACCAGTGTCTTCCTCAGAACGACCCCAAGAGGAAGGAGCTGCTTCTGGATTACAGGCTGAGGGGTCTGGTTGAGTGGATTTGAGCCCTGCCTGCTACATGGGCACCTCTGGCCCTGCACAGCTTCTAATGGAGCCTGACCTTTCCTTATCTTTGTGAAAGGACAGGATTTCATCAATTTAGTTTAATCTTAATTGTGATCTTAATCTTTGATTTTAATAAAAAAATCTTAATTTTTGGTTCTAGAATCTTACAAAATGATGGTCTGAGCTGAGATAGTGGGTTTCATATAGAAGGGCTGAAGAAAGCAGAGACAAAACCCAAAGCGGATTGGCCACTTCAAAGTCACTTTCAGTGTGAGGTGTGACAGACAGGACAATAGGAAAAGAGCCATTTCAGGTTGCTTTTGTGTAGGGTTAACGCAGAGGGAAGTTATCTTGCCAGTTGAAACTGGCTTGTTTAGGAAGCTTTGAATTTGGAAGGTCATAACAGCTTAGTTTCAGATGGTGATGTGGGATTTTAGGGTGAGGGGCTCCATGTTTTTAGCCTGGTCTGCAGGAACTTGGTCCAAAACAATGGTTGCCTGCAATTTCTTTTCTTTCTTCAGACAGGGTCTTGTCATGCAACTCAATCCTCTTGCCTCAGCCTTCTGAGGGCTGGGATCACAGGCCTCGTACCACACCTGCAGTTTTTATTTACCACTGCTTAGGCGCCTCTCTCGAACTTGCTGAAAGAAGGGCCATTTGTACATTGCTTTCAGATTCTAAGATACGGAATCTTGGCCTTAAAACACTTCTGTGCCATTTCAGTGGGAATTTGGGAGGAGCAGCGCTCAGTGGCTACATTCAACCTATGGTCCAGTTTTGGAGATCTGTCTGACCAGTTTTATGCTGTGGGGCCTCGTGGTGACCGTGACCCTCAGGGCCCTCCCCCTTCTCTCTGTTAAGTAGCAGCTAGGCGTGAGTGATGGGGATGTGCAAAGGGAACCTAATCCTTCAACATTGGAGTTAGACTTGCCAACTCTTACAGCCTTCACTAAGATCAAAATAGCTCACCGAGGTCATGGATGTCACTGGGTGTTTTGAGTCATCCCCCTCCACCCGCCCCCAAGGTAGGTGACATCAGTTCCTGAACCAATAGATCTTTACTTAACAAAAACCCAGGCCTATAAACCAGACCCTGGGGGTTAGGTGGACCCAACAATGATTTGTTGTGAGCTGGTCCTAGGGAGGAACTCAATGCTCCAAGCCCCTTCCATCTCTCAGTCTATTGAAAGCGTATTCCTCTCCTCAAACCATGCCATCACTTTACTACATCTACGCATCTTGCCTGATTCCTCCACTGGACGGAGGTACAGCGCTAAACTTTCCGGCAACACCTGGCTCACAGGAAGACAGAACAAGTGGGAAGGTCCAGTAGTGCTCTGAGGGGCTGAGGGGAGGGCATTTGGGGTAGAGTTGGTTGCAGGGGCTCTGACTGGCAAAGAGGTCAGAGAAGGAGGTAGAACACCTGAGAGGAGGTCAGGGGTGGCAGGTGGAGACAGCTTTAAGCATGAAGAATGCAGGCACGGATGCCCTGACACAGGGCAGAGCTAGGCGTGGGCTAGGGACAGGAGGAAGGCCTAGGAGTGAGGAAGAAAGGGAGGGGGTGAGGATGGAGGTCAGAGCGCACGCATGGACCTCAGGCACGGCAACAGGGAAGATTAGACAGCCACTTTGTGACCGGATGTGATGGCGGTTACATCGGACCCTTCATGTCGGGGGCAGAGGTCTGTCCTCAGGAGCAGACCATCTTCTGGAAGTGGACCTTCCTTTCCTCCCCATGGTGTTTCTGTCAGCAGTGCCATCCATGGCCTCTGACAAAAGCTCTTCACAGGATGGTGAAGGGCTTGCGCTGGGGGACTCCAGTGGCCTTACCACACTCCCGCACCAGAAGCTGCTGGTCACCTGCAGTTGTGGGAGGAGGCAGGTCAAGGTCACTCCCCTTCTGACTCAAGGAGTTCCCCCTGGCCCAAAGGTCAGAGGAGCCAGGTAATTCTCTCCCCACCTCCACGTTCAAGATGGTATGAAAATGACCCAGGAAAAGACCCCGGTCCCCCTTTTTTTTCTTCTCGCACCGCAGCAGCGCCTCACATCTGGCAGAGCAGAGCTTCCCTTATTAAAACTTTTCACTTCACCACACCCATGCGTTCTGCTTGAACTCTTCGGGAAACGCCGCTGCTAACAGCAACACCAAGGAGATTGGGCTCCATCACAGGAGGCAGGATATACATTTTTGTATCTTTTCTCCTGTGGTGTAAATATACATCCCAAACTGATTTCAGTCTCGGGCCGTTGAGCACATGCACAGGGCTGTGCAGCCAGCACCACTGTCCACCCACAGAACGTTCTCATCTCCCCAATTAAGCACTTCTTCCTGTTCCCCACAGCCAAGTTGTACTTTGTGTTTCTATGATTTCACCTCATACAAGTGGAGTCGTAAGAGATTTGTCCCTTTGTGACTGGCTTATTCCACTTTGTCTGATGTCCTCAAGGTTCATCCATGTTGTAACCTCAGAATTTTATTCCTTTTTAAGGCTGAATACTATTCCATTGTATGGATATACCACATTTTCTTCATCCATTCACCCATCAATGGACTTTGAGTTGTTTCTCCCTTTTGGCTATTGTAAATATGTAACTGGGACTACAAAAGGGAAAAATTTTTGGTGTAGCCTGCTCGAATGCTGGCCAGCTTGTTAATTAAACTGACATTTTCCCCTCTTTGTCTACATGCTGGAGAGCCAAGGTTAACCCCCTTTCCTCTTCAATTTAATCAGGCCGTCTTCTCTCCCTTATCTCCCTCTGATCACCAGAGCAGTAAACCTGCCAGCAAGACATAGAGATTCAGAGATGTGCTGCCGGAGAACCAAGGCAGCACCTATTCTGGGACATGCATTTCATCACGTAGTCAAGCTGAGCCCCTGAACTCCCCTTTAAAAAGCGGCCATTTTTCTCTCAGATGCGGACAACAGGGCTTTGGGAGGTTGATGCTCCCTACTCCTCTTTGATGAACAATAAACCTTATTTCCTTTCCCTCAAAACCCTGCTCTGGTTATTTGTGCCCCGGTATTGAGGCCAGGGGACTGGCTTGCCGGTAGCAAACGGTGCTGCTATGAGCAAGGACGCGCATATGTCTGAGTCCATCCCTTCAGTTCTTTGGAGAATTTGCCCTGGAGTGGGAATCACCATGAGCAGGGGAAAGGCACGAGCTGGACGCATCCTGTGCAGGCCACAGGCCTCTCCCTCCTTGTCAAGGGAGCGCTACTCTCTTTTCATAGAGCGCAATTTTTTTTTTTTTTTGAGACAGGTCTTGCTATGCAGCTCAGGCTTGCCGGGAATTCACAGTCCTCCTGCCCCAGCTGGTACCAAGGCCTCATTTGAGCTATGTCCCCAACCCTTTTGATTTTGTCAGACAGGGTCTTGGTAACATTGCCCTGGCTGACCTGGAACTCACAACTCTTCTGACTCCACCTCTCTCGCATAGCTGGGATCACAGCGTAGGCCACCATGCCCAGCTTTTTTTTTTTTTTTTGCATTGCTGGGGATGGAACCCAGGGCCTCGTGCGTGCTAGGCCTGTGCTGCACCGCTAAGACACTCCTCCTAGTCTGCTATGTTTTTGAGGCACGCAAGCTGAAGGGGGAGAAGGGGAGTAGCCCCTTTCACTATCACCACAGTAACCCCCTTCCAGTTTGTTTCCCATTTCTGAGCATTCTGTTGGTTTGGGGGTCCTGATTTACAAGGGAATTAATGATGATGACAGGAGGCACACAGTGG